CGACGAAAAATTGCGGACACACCTACACACACACCTACACACACATACAAACATCATTTTTTTCTGAGGTATGCCAAAATGTTCAGAAACCTTTAAAACGTGAAGATACGCAAAAATTTTCATTTTTGGTTTTCGGCCCATTACTATAACTTACCCTACGGGAAGTATTTTATTCGACGTATTACTCTTTCATTTTTACAAATACAATAATTTTTATATTTTGCTTAAATAATTATTTGTTTCTTTTGCATTTTGAATCATATGCTAAAACTGTGCGATCCACCTGAGTTGTCTATAGGTATCTTTTCCAATGTGAAATCTTTTTTGGAATTTCGATATCGTTTTCATGTAAGGACACATTACAATAAGAAGTTCATTTGTATTCAATACATCAAATACTTCCAATAAATATTCTTAATATATTCACTACGAAGCAATACGAATTTATTCATCAAACGTAAGTGAGGCAAATCAATTAGTCAGCTCGTATTCAATTTGTATGGTTATATTATTTGACTAGCCCTTCAACGGACCAGAAGTTCTTAGACCTTTTTTTGAACAACTATCCTTTTTCTGATAAAATGTCAAATTACTGTTTGCTCGAATCAACTTCGAGTACCTCTCGTCGGAGGTAATGTGATTGAGTAAGAGCTACTCTTTTTGGCAGTAATTTGGTTTTCTTACTACTAACTCTGAACTATAGTTGCACAATTTATGGTGAAAATGGATATTACTACTAGGTAGTCGTTTGGCTGCCTTTTTTGGTTCCATCCACATTCTCATTTCTCTCCTAACTGTTTTTATTCGGTGCTATAACTAATGCAATGTTTATTGCATTTATAAAGTGTCATTTATACGACATATTGATCTGATTTGATGATTTGTAAATGACGCAAGTTCGTAAAGTTTCCCATGCTGTGTATTAAGAGAAGAGAAAACCATTTGAGCTCCGAGCTATGACTATGGCCTGTTAATAAACTGGTGACGATTCCCCTGCGTCGTAGAACTCCTATCTGGGAATCTTTCATTAGGCAGCACCATAAAATACTTTATGGATAAATAAGAAGTAATACGATTATCGTAACAATAAACCGAAGGCGATCTGATCAGGGCCGAACATTTTACAATGGTAATTGATTCCAAGAAATGGTAAAAAAAAATTAGGTTATAGGGCCATCTAGGGATTCTTAAATGGTGCGTCTACTTTAGGTCACTTTGACCAGAACCAAGTCTTGGAGTAAGTTAATGTAATCGCAAAAAAATCGAAAATTAACATTTTTATATATCTTCACGTTTTAGAGGTTTCTGAACATTTTGGCATACCTTATAAAAAATGATGTATGTGTATGTGTGCGGATACAAATTTTCATCGACGATTTCGGGAATGCGGATCAACCGATTTAAATAATTTATGAAACATTCAATTTCTATTAATAAGGAGACGTGCTGATTAGTTTTTGGCAAAGGCAGGTCTAGACGTTTTGAAGATACGACGCAAGAAGTGCCAAAAATTGTAATTAAACTTTTGAGAGAACGGATTTCAATAATTCAAATAATATTTTACTTATATTGACACAATGAAAAATTTATTAAACTTTTGGGAAGGCAGGTCTAGCTGTTTCGCAGATCGAGTGAAAAAAGTGAAAAAAAATGCAATTTGGGTGTCAAAAATGATCATTAGACATATGCACATCAAATTAACAATATAACCACAGTAAACAGTATAAACATAGTTAAACCGTTAAACTGGGACGCGGCGCTTACGCGCTTCGAGATTTCTTTTCTAAAACAGCCATGCAGCACGATTGATTAGAAAAAAAGTTCACAATTTTTAAAATATAAAAAGTTCAAATTTTTCAAAAAAGTTAATTTTTCAAAAATTTTATTTTTTCAAATTTTTCAAAAATTATAAAGGCTTTTTTAAAGATTTTAATTTTTGGTACGGGAAGTTGCAGCAGTTTGCCTTATGGCACGATGCCATGCATCACTAGTTTACTTTTTTATTTTTTTTGTAAAATATTAAAAACAAATGTTTGTATTAGAGCTTTTTCGCTTGATAGAGTTCTAGACGAGATCATTTTAAAAATACAATTTGTTTTAACATATATTTTGAAAGAGATTCTTTGCACTATTAGAAGGTCATTTATTTATTGTTCTTACTAATTGAATTTATATTTTTTACTTCTGGACACTTCTAGGAAGCAACACAACTTTGCTTTCCTCTATAAATATAAATTAGGATTATATTTTAAAGTGAAAACTGTTAACACTACTGCTTGATACCGAGGTAGACGAAATTACTTATAATATACTTATTGAGCTTGTCCTTGGCTTCGTGGTAAAAGCTTTGGTCTTGCAAACATAAGGTCCAGATTCTATCCCCATTTTGGACAACTTGATATCCAGATATCATCTTAAATCCGATTTTAAGTGGAAATAGCTTTTCGGGGCTTTGCTGCAATATCACATCACTATAAGAAATATTTTATAATATAATTGTATTATATTACTAGATTGCCTTCTAATAATTCTACTATATCTCAACAGCTCATAGAGCACTAAAAATAGTTCTGATAAAAAAAATAAAGTTTTTTGTGAGAGTAATATAATTCTTGATAAATACCTCGAAAAGTTGTTTCTGGGAATAACATAATTGCTGACATAGAGAAACAAGCATTGCTGACTAAGATTCAAAGACTTAGACCTTGACCCCAGGACCCCAAGTGCAAAACCTGTGTAAAATAACAATTAAGAATTTGTTCTGGTTTTTATATAAAATTTTATTTTATCTAGGGAAGTTAATATAAATAGATTTATATTGTTCCGTCGTTTTATAATACTTAATTTTGGCAATTTAACAAATAAACTTTTACGACATTTCATATATCTTTATTATGCATTACACAGTAGACTTTTAGTAATCCGCATTGAGTTACAAACAATTCGTAATGGCAAATTCTATAAATACAAACCCACGAAATCACTTCTTGGACTCTTGAATACAACAAAGTATTTTTAAAAGTACCATCTCATTCTCAACGCCAAACATATGCAATCCTTAGGAATTCTACCGGCCGTAAATTTTAATTCAATTAAACTTTACGGCCGGTTTATTTGCAAACATTGTTATAAACATTCACGTCATACAAATTGCTAAAACAAACACTATTTGGATACTGATAATTGACTTAATTTTATTACAAATATTTTTAGGCACAATTCTATACGGATCAATCATGTACTTTATTCGGAGCACCTTGGTGATGACCTTCCGAAATTGGTTTGGTTACGATATCTATACCGCGATTATTTTTATGATGAATAGATAAATAACATTTACTTATTGATAATAATTTATTATACTTACTAAACTTATCCATATCTTCTAAATCTTTGGTATATAGCAACATTCGTAAAATTGAAGAACGACATTTTTAACTTCCCGTAGGTGTGTGTGTGTGCGGATACACATTTTCGTCGACGATTTCGGGACACACGGATCAACCGTGTAAAAAAATCTTTTTTTTAAAAAAATTGCAAAATTTTTAAAAATTAAACTTAAGGCACGATGCCATACACCACTAGTTTTTCACAATTAACTCGTAGCTGGCCTGAGTAAGAACTTGTTCTAGCAACCGATGGTTTTGGGTTCAATATGCTCTCCCCCAGCATGATATCAAGCAGTAGTGATACTCACTTAAGATTATAGGTCTAAAATATGACATCAAGTGAAAATAGCTCTTAAGAGCTTTGCTTCAAAAATAACTCAGTCAAAAATACTAATCAAGTATATCAATCAACTAAGGACAATTACTCTAATATCTTATATATCTTTTGTTAATATACCTGAATATATTAACAAAACAATTGCTAAATATCTTCAATAGACAAATTGTAATTTATATAGATATAAAATTAAAAACGTTTGACCAATATTATCTCAATATAGTTATTGCTTTTTTGAGTTAACCAGCAGGAACATAATTAAATTATGAGATTATCTCATATTTCTAATATTTCAAATGGATTTATGAACATTTTATGTTTCTATATAGACTAATGTAGCATAAATATTATTGAAGCCACGTGCAGTTTTTAATTAAATTAACATTTTATTTTAAATTCCTCTATACTAATACAATTTATCTATATTTTGATCATTATATTTTTCAATTTAAAGAGTTTCAATCAACTTTATAGATCAATTCTATGTTCACCAATTGTAAGACATTTCTTCGGTCTTTCTGTAGTCCGTGTCTCCGATCCATACTGATTTATCCATAGTTTACTCATTTCTTATGCTCGTCAAGAATTGTTACTTATATCTTAATTTCTGGTTAAAAGATGGGCTAATCCGATCTCTTGTTGATTTAATAGTCGCATTCGTAATACTTCCTCATTTCTGATTTTACAGGTCAGTTTCAACATTTCCATTTTAAAACTGTTTAGATATCTTGTCAGTCTTCCTGGAGTCCTTGTCTTTGATCCATAGATTACTAATTTCTTTTTAACGTCCGCAATTGTTAGTTACTTGATACAAATTAGTTTTTGTGATGGGCCCAATCTAATCTTCTGTTGATTTTATAGTCGCATTCGCAGCCGACGTTGTGGATCAATTTCATCTTCTCTATTTAACAACTCTTCAGATATTTTATCACTCTTTCTGGAATCCTTGTTTATTATAGTTTGCTAATTTCTTTGTCACATCGGAAGAAAATTGTCAACTGTTAGTTATTTCTCCTGATTGTGCAAATGTTAAGTGGGTCAAATCCATTCTGCTCTTTGTTTTATAATCGTAATATTTTGTCAGCCTTTTTTCAAAATCTATACCAATATATCTCTAGATTAATTTGTGCTAAATGTCCACATTAAATCAAGACATCAGTGTTAGTTACTTCATATTCTAATAAACATCTATGTTTAATTGATACAATACTAATTAGTTTATGGCTTAGAATAATTGCTTTGATAATAATCGATCCTTTTCCCCTTTTCAGATCCCAAACTGAGCGATGGCCACCATAGATGGGCGACCAGCCCAATATGGGATCTCCTTGAAACATCTACGGGAGTTAATGGAACATCGCGGAAGAGAAGGTGTAAACAAGATTAACGAATTAGGGGGAGTGCAAGAGATATGTAAAAAATTGTATACATCACCTAGCGAAGGTAATTACTTTCAATTTAATCCGACATCATAAAGGAATAAAATTCCATTCCTCTATTGTCACTACGCAGACCCATTAGTTTTTGTTCACCAGCAGGTTTATTTACGGAGGAACAGGTATTAAAAATGAGCCTTTCAGAGAAGAAAAATGAGAATTTAACATATGCATTTTAAATTATGAGGATTTTCAGAGATTCTGATGTGTATAAATTCTTCTTACTAAGTTTTGGATGCGTGCCAACATATGAGGATTTTTATAATTTACTCGGAACGTTAAAATTCACTCTGAAACTTTGATTATATACATGGAAACGAAAAAGTCTTTGAGTTTTTATTATTCACTTGATTTAATGTTCGGTACCAGACTGAAATTTTGAATTATTTTGCGTAATAATAGAAATCTGAGTATTTTTTTTGTGGAGCTAGTAATAGGAAATTTTATCAGGATTAATGCTATATTTTTAATGCAAAATTATATGCTTACTCAAATGCTTTAAAACCTAGCTTAGAATATTGGATTAGTTTCAAGTTTACAATAAAATAAATTTTCAATAAATACTATGTTTCTCTAATACCTCATAATGTGGATTCCAGGAATTTGCATTACTAATGAGTGTACTTTATTAACTATTTATCAGATTTATCAGATAGAAATATTGTGAATCTAACAAATTTATCAAAGTCGAGTAATAATATTCAACTATACTTCAACATTTTTCAGATTCAACTTATCAAAATGCCACTGATAAACATTTTCTTCTCAACATTTGCTAGTTTTTACGTCATAAACGTGGATTTTATAAAAAAATGTCCTTCAATACAAAGAGCTGCTTTTGATAAATCCACTTATTCCATATATAATATTTTAGAATCAGTTAGATCATTTATAATGACTTATTCCAAATCTATTTATCACCATTTCCTATTAATTAAAATTATTTTTTCTTATGACTACTATTTGATATTGTCAAACCAAACCCTGCTGGATGACATAAATAATGGATCCTTATATAATTGATATTTCCATTTATGATTTAATAATTCTTTTATCTAGGCCTGAGTGGTTCACAAATAGACACAGATCATAGAAGAGAAACATTTGGATCCAACACGATACCACCTAAACCTTCAAAAACATTTCTTCAACTTGTTTGGGAAGCGTTGCACGATACGACGCTTATTATTCTCCAAATAGCTGCCATAGTATCTCTCGGTCTATCTTTCTATCAACCTGCCGACGATTCGGGTAATTTACTGTTTATTTCACCACATTACTATGTTTGGATGCTTGATTGACACCTTTTTTTCCAGCTGGGCCCATCGAGGACGACGAAGGACATTACGGATGGATCGAGGGCCTTGCTATTCTTGTTTCAGTCATAGTTGTAGTTATAGTAACAGCTTTTAATGATTATTCAAAAGAAAGACAATTTAGAGGATTGCAAAGTAAAATTGAAGGCGAGCATAAATTTTCAGTTATTAGACAAGGAGAAGTGAAACAGATATCGGTTGGTGATATTGTCGTCGGCGATATTTGTCAAATCAAATATGGAGATCTTTTACCAGCGGACGGTTTATTGATCCAGAGTAATGATCTGAAGGTAAATTATGAGAATATTTTTATAGAATTGTTGCTTCGTTAGTTCTTCATTTCTCATTGCACCATTTTCCCTCCTAGGTGGACGAATCCTCCCTGACGGGAGAGTCCGACCATGTGAAGAAAGGCGAGTCCTTCGACCCGATGGTCCTGTCGGGGACGCACGTCATGGAGGGCAGCGGCAAAATGCTGGTGACGGCCGTCGGCGTCAACTCGCAGGCCGGCATCATCTTCACACTGCTGGGTGCTGCAGTCGACCAACAGGAACAAGAGATCAAAAAGATGAAGAAAGGTATCAATATTGTAGGATCATTAGATTTCGTTCATAATCTCATCACCCGCCTCGACTACCGTAACTGCAAGTTTAATAATAATAAATTGTAGTAATAATAATAATAAACAATATGACTCAGTTGATTCGAAAACTTTCAGTTATGGTAGCTTATCACAAAGACACATACATAAAGTAATGTATGCACTATGATTTATGTCAGATTGCTGCATACAAATGTTAATTATTTCGAAATATCTTCTTGCTATGACTGTCTTTTTACCAAAATTTCAAGTGTTTCAGTTTATAATTGTTGAAGATGTATATGTTGATATCAATTATTACATAATGTATAATGCATATATTGGTAAAATACAATATATTTTACATAAAACACAAACTTGGTTGAAGCCGTAATGCTAAAATTTGATCATGAAAGAAAAATTCTATCACATTTTTTTAAATTATCAAATACAAAACAAGGAGCAGCGTTATTAATGATATACACGATTATTCTCCTGTC